CAGTGGTGATCTCTGCTCTGTATTCCCTTCTTTCTGCCTTTCCGTGTTTTCTAATTTCCTAAAATGAGCGTACAATATTTCTAAAAGGAAAAACAAAAAAGTAAATTGGGCAATTGCATAATCAGATGACTTAAGGTAGTCTTCTTTGCTTTTAGATTCTTAAACAGCTTTCTGATTCTAAAATTCACATATACTGCTTTTGAGGAAACCAAATGTGCTTAGAATATGGGCACATTTTCTCTACTCAAATCTTCATTATCAGGGAATAAAATCTTTGAATTTTCAAAAATGTAAATACTTCCCCTCTCATTATTCATGCCAGTGGAGGGAATACTGACAGTAGCATCTAAAAACAGCAGGTACACACGTGTATTATACTGGGCTCTGTATAGCACTGAACAATGTTTTTGGCAGGTAGACCCTCTGAATTAAATTTTTCTTTAGCTAATGTTAAAATGACTTTATGCTCCAACATGGGGGCTGGCAAATGAAGGGACAAGCCTATGGTAAAAGAAACAGGACTACGATTTAAAATTCATTGCATGTAATCTACAAACTGTATCTTCCACAGACAAATGGTTAAAGACTCTCTATGCTGAAAAGACACACCACTTTTTAAAAAAGACAGACCTGAAAGAGGGCGATGAAAGCATGGGAATCGAACGCTAACTCCCCTCCCTGCTGTGTCTGATGCACTGCAGATGTAAAATAGTAAAAACACCTGATGAAAATGGCCCACCAGTCCTTACGCTCAAAACGCAGCTTTTCATAATCAGAGGACACTCTTTTAAAAGCAGCTCCATGTGAAATCATAGTCAGCAAAGAATTTCAGAAGAAATATGAAACACTCATCTCTTAGGGTTAAAGAAAAGGGTCTGTCAAATAAACTTGATATAAAGTACTACTCCATCCCTTAACACTTACGAAGGGACTTGCAGACAAAGATATGCAAATATGATTTATCTTGAATTAAGCACATTGAACCTTTCCCAGCATTACAAGAATTTAGATAGTTTAGAGAAGAGTTGGATCTGTCATTTATAATTTATATTCTTTTCAGGTCCTCTGAAACATAGTAGCTTTCTCACTAGTTGAGACTTGTGCCGCCCCCTTACATGAACTCCCTTCCCCCCACCTTGCAGGCGAGCACAATTTCTGAAGCTTACACTGCCATAAAACATTCTAATTATTAGGTACCTCAGAAAGAGTATGTTTAACAAACTTTTCACACTAATTACTTTTCCCTCCCATCTCTCTGACAGTGGGGCTCTCATGCTTCTCCAACCCTAAACTCTAAGGAAAAACCATCACCAATAACTCTTGCCACCAGTCCCTCTCCCAAACCTCCCATTTTGCTTTCAAAGCTCAAAAGAATCCACC